CGGCCCGGTCCGGCCCGCGCTGGGTCCGCGGCCGGGCCCGCAGAGCGCAGCCCCCGCGCAGCCGGGCCGGGCCGGGCCGCTCTTGATCTGCACCGGGGCGGGGGCTCTGAAATCCCCCCCCAGAGGGCCAAGGGCTCAGCGACCGCGGGAAAAGTCGCAGGCGGTTTTTAACTCACACACACACACACACACACACACCCCTCCGCTGCCTGTTTGTGCGGAGCTGGAAGGGAGAGTTACTTTACTCTGCCTCTCCCAAGGTGTTAAATTTAGCAGGACCTGGAGTTGCCTGCGCCTCTCCTCTGGGAGAGCAGCTTCTAGAAAAATCTGAACTTGTCATCTCCCGGAGCACTTGGTGCCGAGTTATGAATGAAATTACTCAAGATAAACACTCCTTCGGTTTCCTCTCCCATTTAGACAGGGTTTGTTCGTTTCACGGAGCTTTTACTGCTGTGTAAGAACAAGGTACATCCAGCACTTCATTTACTGCGCCCCAAGCAGAGGAATTATGTCTCCAAGCATCTTCACCCCAGCACGTGATGGGCCATCACGAGAGCCCAGTTGTATATCTGGACATCAAAAGAGAAGGTGTCCTGAATGAAAGGAATGAGTTTTGCTAAGATCCTGTGAAAATAGCCCTGTTAGAGGAAGGTGCTGAAGCCAGGCCCCAGTGGTGAGGAGGCTGCACTCTGCCCAGCCTTCGGGCAGGGGGCTGGGTATGGGCACTGCTTTCTTGCTAGTGAACTCCATCTGGAAAATATCTTCCTTTTTTCTTTTTTCCCCGCACCAAAAGAAACCCAAGCAGCTCAGGAATGAGTTTGTCATTTAATGGAGTTCAGTATAGAACTGTAAAAATTTTTCCTAGTGCAGCATCACATTTGAATAGATGTTTAGTGTTGATTTTCTGTTTTCTTAAGGTTTGACAGAAACTATTGGGTTTTTTAATGTCATATTAAAGGTTTACAGTTCCCTCCTACTGATTACTGCCACAGACTGGACATACAGTAAAAAAAATTTCCTGTAACACTCCTATAATCAAGGTATACTTCTTCCACCCTACTGCACTAAGTAGCAAATTGAGGGTTCAAAAAGGCAGCCAGGAACAAGGATGGATTGCTAAAGAACCCATAGCCACAATTCTGATTCCAATAAAAATGGGGATAACTCTAATTGACACAGACTCACCACTATAAAAGCCAATGTAGTAGCAGTTTCTGTAAAGAAATAAGGAAGGTTGACAAGGGGAAAAAAGTGTTATGATACAGATATACTGAAAAACACCAGATCATGGTAAATTTGGTCAGCGTGACCCTAGATTCATATCCATTCAGCATCAGTTGGATCAGGAACTGAATTACTTCAGTATCCTTGTCTTATTGGAGAGGCTTAATCCCCAGGCTATCAACTTGTTTCTGTTCTCTCACTGGCCCAATGAATATTTAATTATTCTTACAAAGCAGAACAGCTTCAGCAGGACAGATTCTCATCCCAGAATGTGCTGGCGGTTGGGCACTCTCAGAGGAGTTCAGAGACCCAAATTCAAATCCCCGTGCAATCAAGCAAAGAGGGGATTTCAATCTTAGTTTTACACATTCCACTTGGCAAGTAATTCCCAAGCCCCACTGCCACCCCAAGCCCCTTTGCCATCCAGCCCTCTGTTCCCACATTTTCTACATTTTTTTAAAATAACTTTAAATCATGCAATTTAAATGAACCAACTTTTCTCCATTTCTTAAATTCATCAGGAAATCTATAAATTTTCATTTTAATTTTTTTTACATTTTCAGTTGCCAGAGAACCAGTGAAAAGGTTATTTGCAAGGCCCTACCTGGTTCAGAGCAAGGTGAGGAACCCTGCTCTGAGCATCCCCAGCTCCTCCCTTGAAAGTAGTTCAAGTTCACTCCTACAGCTGTTGCAAAAGCAGCAGCACCCTTAAAACCATTACCTTTCATGGTGGCATCCGTTGAGAAACATCCAGTTTATAGCTAGAGATAAAGCGAGAGGGTAGGTTTGACAGAAAAAATTAATCAGAGAAATCTGTCTTTAAATGTAGCATACACATATATAATTATGAATTCACCCCTCTCTATTATCTTCAAACCCAGCAATACACAGATTTCCTCCAGGCCCTGCTCTATAACTACATCTCTGCTCCACAGAGTTTTCCAACATGTGTCTAAATGCTTTTCTGCTCTATTTTCACAACACATCATTTGTGCATCTCCTCCAGATATATGTACATGGAGTTTACGTGGTCCGGCAGCCACTCTTGAGCAAAGAAAACCCCATAACCCTGCTGGGCCCCCCAGAGAAATGGGGAGTTCACCCATCCAGGCTCTCTTCCCAACACCAGAACTTAAACTCATATTGTCATTAAAATAGATACATTCCAAGAGTGCTAATAACAAGGGAAGACTTCACAGGCTTTATTAAAATATTTAAGGCAAGTGACACCAGCCTGTGTGCTAATTTAATAAAAATACATTTAATAATTTAATTTAATTATGGTAATTTAAGAATGCAATAAAAATATTTTTTGAATCTCTTATCAATCTTGTTCCCCTCACAGATGCTTTTTCTTTTTATTCTGGGGAATTTTAATAAAAGCACAAAGCCAAGACTGCCAGAGTGCAGAGCTGTTCTCTCCGGGAGAGAACCAAGAGCCCTCCTGCAGCTCCGAATGACGTCCATGTCTCATCAGGTCGCTGGGACAATTTGGATGCCGGATTCTCTGCTTGTAACCCCTTTTGGGAATGTCATTGTTCTATATTATGCATGACACAGATCCTATACTATACACAACGCAGCTGCTGGCGAAAGGGAACCAGTCCTGAGACGCAGAGGAGCCCCCCGAGCTCAGCATGGCTTGTCTGAAAACAGGATTTGCTGGTGGAGGCATCCGCCACCTCCTCCATCAGATTTGCCATCAAAGCCCCATGAGGCTGACACTGAGACACCAAGCCTTCATCTTCAGGGATGTGGTGGTCCCTGCCCCTCCGCTCACTGCCATGCCTCTCCTCAAAGACACCAGTGCTGGTTTCAATGTGCTCCTTCTCTGGGGGAAACTGATACGCTTGCTTTCCATGCCAGCTAATTCAAGATGATTTCATTTTGCTCTGCTCTCTTCTGCCACGTGCATGCACAGTGAACATAATTTTTAAAGTCTGATGACTTTCAGGAAGATGCCATCCATAACAATAGTGACATCTGAGATAGTCCCACCGTGGCAGCCTTATAGGAAACTGATTGGCCTTTCTCTGGAAAATGTAGGTAGGACTACCAGCCTCTCTATAGTTATAGATCTATTTCTATTCAATACTTAGAGCAAACTGCTATACATTTCTCAATATAGAGAATTATTCTGAAAGTGTTTCAGAATCAGTTTTCAATTACAAGTTAGATAAAAATGGCAAAGTTGTGTAAAGGCAAAAACACAAACTTCATAAAAGGAATGTTAAACAAGGACTATGGGAGTTAGGCACCCAATGTATCCGGCCTGCTTTGAGAAAGCCAGCCTCAGTAAGGATTTAAACTTTCTAAAATCAAAAAGAGGGGTATCTTCAACAC